TCCAGGCACTGGGGTAGCAACCTTGCTCAATGGAGGCGTTCAAAATGTTAGTGATAGGTTTAGCTATGACGGTTGCCGATTCTTTCAAAAGCCTTGGAGGGAGCATATCGTGGCCACAAGAGAGTAAGAAATTCGTTAGTAGGAAAAAGAAACAAAAAACAAAAACACAAAACAAGCGTGTAAGGAAAGAATGTCATTGTTTTAAAACAGTAAAACTGGCGAAAGAAATCAACAATTTTTCTTGGCGACATGTGTTGACGTCAGTACAAAGGGTATTGGAAACACTATAGCCGGCTAGCGCTAGCAGGTTTCCTCTAACTGCACCACTCACCAGACCTGTCAGTAATTTGAGATCTTTCTCGATTACACTTTCCCTTGGCAAATAGCAGTGGTCGTCTCAGTCCCTCAGAAGGCCAGGACTTGCTCCAGGCTCACTCTTTACCATAGCGTTCAGCTTCAGAGAACACAATACTGATGACGTGTTAAGAGATTGCTTGTGCGTGTAACTCGAGTTTTTTTAAATTTCGTACACACGTGAAAGTAATTATGAAAGTGCATTATTCAGTTATGCTGCGTACTGAAACATACACTTGCTTAATTTGATTCTAATCATGTGAACCGTCACACAATAGAGTATTTTAATGTCAATGCAAGCATGTGTTTGAAATTTCCACATCTTAACTTTCTTTCCTGCACTTGAATTGTGGCAAAAAAGTACATCCACTTTTATCTACAACCCCCCTCCCCCCTCCGCGGGGGATATAAGATGAGATGAGATGAGATGAGATGAGATGAGCTGAGCCGAGCTGAGCCGAGCTGAGCCGAGATGAGATAGGATGAAATGAGATGAGATGAGATGAGATGACCTGAGCTGAGCCGAGCTGAACCGAGCCGAGCCGTGCCGAACCGAGGTGAGATGAGATGAGATGAGATGAGACCGAGACCAAGACTGAGATGAGATGAGATGAGATGAGATGAGATGAGATGAGATGAGATGAGATGAGATGAGATGAGATGAGA